TCCCCCTCCCCCTCCCCTTCCCTCTCCCTCTCCTCTCTCTCCCTCCTCTCCTCTCTCCCCCTCTAACATATTAGGAGATGCTTAGGTCATATCAAAAGCATAGAAGAACCAACATGAGGGGCCTGCCACTGGCCAAAAACCAGAGACTGTTCAAAATGAAGACTCACCATAATTGACTGGCATAATAAAGAAAGCAGTGACTGTTGGGAGTGCTAGAAAAGCACACCATTGGTCATGTTTGTGTCTCTAGACTGAAAATTCAGGACTTTTAAGGAATTATGAATTCATTTTTAAAATTGATTAATGCTTTAATCTTTCTGATAATTTTTCTTTCCCGTGTGTAAATTCCATTTCAGAGTTAAAGAGTTGGCTGAAGGAGGAATATTTTTCAAAGAAAAAAAAATCCACTTTTTTTTTTTTTCCCTGTGGTAGAGATTGAACTCGGGCCTTATACATGCTAGACAGCACTCTACCACTGGTCCAGCTTCCCGAAATTCAACTATTAAATGCAGAAAGAAAAATAGAATTAAAACATCATAACTCTGTGATCTTGATAATGAACCTTGATAATGAATCCTCCGAGCTTATAATAGGCAATAAATTGATAGAAAATTGCAGATGGATGGATGAGGATGAGAGGACGCGAATAAATATTAACTGTGAAATTGGTATTATGGGCTTCCTCTTGTGACTGGGTAGAAAATATACAGCATCTATTCTTGCCAAAAGAATTGGAATTGAATCTCATGTTGCCCCTAGATTGAATGACCCTTTCATTGTAGAAACAGGCCAGAGAAACATACTAATATAAACAAAGGGCTGACATGTAGCTCGGTTGGTAGAGTGCTTACCTTGTGTGAGCAGAGCTCTCCCTGGGTCGAATCTTTAGTAGCACACAAACTAGGCACAGTGACATAGCACGTGTAACCCCAGTGCTTGGGGCACAGAGGCAGGAGGAGCAGAAATTCACGGTCATCCTCAGCTACATAGTGAGTTTGAAGCCAGCTGGAGACATTGAAAAGATTTTGTCTCAGATTGGAAGAGAGGAAGAGAAGGAGGAGAAGAAAAACAAGAAACTGTGAAAGGATGCATAATTTACATACCAAAATATGGGACATTCTCTGGGGGAGAATAAGGATTGGAGGCATACGGAAAGAACATTTACAAATTAAAAGACTTGAGAGACATCGCAACCAGATGATATTTTTTAGGCAGTTGGAGAAAATGTGAACACAGATATTAGACAGCATTAAAAAATTATTGTTCAGTTTGTTAGATATGATAATTGGGGGTATGATTATGTTTTTAAATACTAAAGCATTTTGTGCAAAATAATATGTTTTGAAAAAATAGAGCCAGTCTGACAGAATTGATGGATGTTGAAACAGAGTGCCAAGTATATATGGATGTTGGGTGTTCTCTATGTACATTTTGAAAGTTATTATGAAATATTTATTATTTATTTTATAAGTTTTGTTTACTATAGGAAGTGGTTAGTAAATGGTAAGTAAAGATGTGTGTGATTTTTCTTTACAGGGACTTAAATGCAAACACCACCTTGAAGTTTGTACATACCTCCTTCCACGGAGTTGGACACGATTATGTGCAGTTGGCTTTTCAAGTGTTTGGTTTTAAGCCTCCAATTCCTGTCCCAGAACAGAAAGATCCAGATCCAGACTTTTCTACTGTTAAATGCCCAAACCCTGAAGAAGGAGAATCTGTGCTGGTATTGTTTTTAATATTTAAATCATGCTTAGCTTATTACCCATCAGGCTAGAAGGGACTGAGTGACAGGTCACAGATGACCTACATGCTTCCCTTGTGCCCTGCAGCAAGCACATAGTGTGACCTTTTAATTACATTGCAGCTGTGAGGATTTGTTTGAAATCCCTGCAGAAAGGGGCCCTAGTTCTGTCCCTCCAGACTGCATGCTTTCTGAAGTTCCTATCTCGGACATAGGTTCCTTAGTACAACCTAGCCTTTTTGGGTCACTGTTTCAGGAACTATCCCTGAGACTGGCAGAGAAAGAAAATGCCCGGATAGTGCTAGCCACAGATCCTGATGCAGACCGGCTGGCAGTGGCAGAACTTCAGGAGAAGTAAGTAGTTTGAGCTTCAGCCCTAAATGGGACAACTCCATCACCTCCTCTTGCCAAGAATCAAGGATTATCGCAGAAGAGAGTGTGTAAAGATTCTAAGAGCCAGAGGCAGTAGATGACCACAGCACAGCTATTTTCAGGTCAGTCAGCAGGTCAGCTGCACATAAGAACTCACAGAGCTGGTGGGAACAGATGCAGGACTCCCGGAGTTCATTGGCTAGTCAGCCTAGCTAGGAAGTTCATTGGCTAGTCATCCCAGCTGAATTGATGATCTCCAAGTTTAGTGAGAGACCCTGTCTCAAAAAATAAGGTGGAGAGCCGAGAGATGGCTTAGTGATTAGGAGCACATGCTTCTCTTTCTGAAGCCTGGGTTTGGTTCCCAGCACTCACATCAGGTGGCTCACAGCTAGCTGTCTGTACTCCAGTTCCAGGGGATCCACCACTCTCTACTGGTCTCCACAGGCATTACACACATGTACACATATGGGCAAACAAGTGCACACATGTACATAAATGAAATTTAAGCTATGTTTAAAAACAAGGTGAATAGTAATTGAGGAAGTGCTCAATGTTCACTTCTGGCCTCCTTACATATGTACATACATGTGTACACACAAGTAGGTACACATGTGTATACAACACACCAAAACGGAATAAAGGTTTTGTCATATAATAACTTTGGGGGTTTCTTTTTCAAAAAGAAAAAAGAGAAGAAAAGGCAGGGTGGGGATGGTGATTTGAAGGTCTGAACCAGAAAGTTTTCATGAGAAGCTACAAAGGTCTTGACTTTGAATTTTCATTCTTTCTCCAGCGGTCACTGGAAAGTTTTTACAGGGAATGAGTTGGCAGCTTTGTTTGGGTGGTGGATGTTTGATTGCTGGAAGAAAAACAAACCCAATGCTGATGTGAAGAACGTTTACATGCTTGCCACCACTGTCTCTTCTAAAATCTTAAAGGCCATTGCACTTAAAGAAGGATTTCATTTTGAGGTGAGAATGAAGCGGGACCTCATTTGAAGTCTGCATACTACTTTTCTAAATGTTTCTATAAAGACAGCTCTGCACCAAACTGACTTTTCATTGATCTCATTTATAACTCCCCGAATTTTCTAATTCTGTTCACACTTGCTCAATATTTTTGGTAATTTAGACACCCGAGCCAAAGTCATCTAGTTTGTGCACTTCTGAGATGAAATGTTCTTCCAGACATTACATTAATGCTTTTTACCGTGTAGTATTATCTGGGAATGTTGTATGGGAACATAGAACATTTTAGGTTGGGGAAATCTGGCTTATCAGTAACACAGACTTCAGAGAATTGCAGATCTCATTGAATCTTTGCTTATGTTCATCAAGTACAGAATTATGACTTGTTACCTTAAACGTAATTCTAAATTGCAAACCAAGATCCAGTGACTCTGTTGAGAGAATCATTAGTTTTTGTGAACCTCGGGCAGTTAGTGATCCTTTTTACAGCTACTTGGACTTGGGTCAGTCAAGTTGTCTTTCTTCTGTCGTCTTTGCCAAGTGTCAGTAGACGTGGACATTTTACATGAGTCATCAAGCTGTGGATCTTAATACTGATTGGATAAGTAAAAGAATATAGTGGGCTGGGGGAATGCTTAGTGGGTCAAGTTTTGCCTTGCCCTCTTGAGGACCTGAATTTGAATCCCCAAACCCATGTCAAGTTGGATGCAGTATTGCATACATGTAATTCTAGTCCTCCTATGACAAGATGAGATGCAGGGATGCTTCTAAATCTCACAGGCCAGCTGTTCTGTTAAATGAAGAGATCCTGTTTTCAATAAGGTTGATGGATGAGGACCAACTCCCAAGGTTGTCCTCAAAGTCCACATGTGGACCGGCATACATATGCCCTCATTCATGTGAACACATATGTGTACATACACACCCATCATACAAACAAAGAAGAGAAAAATGAATATTGTGCTTGTTACATACAAAAAATTAGAAGATAATTTATTCAAGCCTAAGATTCTGAATTATGATGTTAACATTTTCCTTGTTTATGGCAAAGAATATATACTAAGCATAAAAGAGAAACTTGATCCTAAAAAGCAATATTATAAATTTGTTTGTTTTTATTGATGGTGGTGTTAGTTTTTCTATTTCTTTTTTTTTTTTAAAGAGGGAGTAGAAAAGTGAATTAGGAAACAGATTGGTGATGTTGAGCTCTAGAATTAGTGTGCATGATGTGCTTTCTCTGTTGACAGTAAAGTGGAGCATGTCTTTCGAGTGGACAGTAGTTCATCAGATGAAAAGCCCTCAAGTCTAATTACTTGGTGAAGGCTTTATGTACGCCACAGCATTGCGGAGCGATAGACACAGTTCAAGCACGTAGTGTACTTATGCTGCATCACTAAAAACTTAGAGGCTTTGATTCCCCGAGAGAGCTAAAGCACATCCTCCATGAGTGCTTAAAGGACAGTTTCAGGAAGGCAATATAGTTGGACTTTGCCTCCATCCCTTATGTGCAGTCTTGGTAACGGTAACCTCTGAGCCTCTGCTATGGCAGCCATGTTTGTGAGCATTAGAAAGGATGATGCAAAGCACCCACTACAGTACTTAACAAGCAGTAGATGATTGGAGCATATGTATGCACACACACTTGGCATTTATATTCTTTATCCCATAAACATATTATGTTGATGGAAATCACCTGTTTCTTTGCTAGTGGGTCATTAATTGTGCCTGTGTGTGGTGGTTATGGTAGTTGTGACTATATATCTACCACTATATAAACCTTTATGGACCAAGAACCATGACAGAAACTCACTATTCAGGGGCTATGTGCATTTAGAAATAAGCTCTTTAATATGTGTTCATCAGAGTCTGGAGTGGCTTCCTCTACATTTCAGGAAACATTACCAGGCTTTAAATGGATTGGAAGTAGGATAAAAGATCTCCTAGGACATGGGAAAGAAGTCCTTTTTGCATTTGAAGAGTCTATCGGTATGTAGTGAATACTAACAATCTTTTCTTTTGGTTGAAAGCATTTTAAAATATGGCAGTTCTGTAGAGAGGAGACATTTACCTTCTGGCTATGACTTTGAGTTGTGAAAATGCAAGGATGCATGCCTAGCAGTGTATATGTCTTCCAAGTGGACAGTAGCTCATCAGGTGAAAAACCCTCAAATCTGATTACAAAGAAGGACTTGGTAAAGGCTTTAAGTAGGTCACAGTGTTATGTAAAGGTAATTTTAAGCCTGTGGTGTGCTTACATTGCATTGCTTGAAATCAACTTAAAGGCGTTGATTACCTAAGAAGACTAAATCACAATCTGTAGGTGCATTTTCCATCAGAGAAGAACTTAAAGATCCCTGAATACATTCTGTTACTAGACTCCTCTGGAGCTGGATTTTTTTGTTGTTGTCACTGTATTTTGTTGTTAATGTTAGAGTTTTGTTTGTTTGTTTTTATTTTGAGACAAGATCTTAGCTATACAGGCTAGGCTGGCCTTGAACTCCCAATTAAGCCCCTTGGGCGCTGAGATATAGTCATACATTACCACAACTGGCTCGATACTGTACTCTTCAATTCACTTGGTCAGGGAAGAAACATAGAACTGTGGCAAGCGTAGGCCGAAGTTTTCCCCTTTTCTAAAGACACGTGTAACCCTCAGGCTTCTTGTGTGGAACCTCAGTGCTGGACAAAGACGGAGTGAGTGCGGCTGTGGTTGTTGCTGAGATGGCCTCTTTCCTGGAAACCAGGAAGGTAACACTGACAGAGCAGCTGGCCAAAGTCTATGGAAAGTAAGTTCTCGTAGGAATCTCAAGTGCCGGATATGCCTTGCTTGCTTCTCTGCTGGTTTGGTTGGTTCGGTCCTTTTCTTAGTTTGTTTTTGAGGAACAGTTAGATTTCTTTCCTCTTAAAATTATCAATATCATTTTCTATAAAATATTATGTTGGCTTACCTTTAATGTGCACGTGTCCCAAAAGTTACCTAGAATCTGACTTCAGCTTTAAATCTTTGCACAGATACGGTTATCACCTGTCAAAAACTTCCTATTTCTTGTGTTATGACCCACCTACCATCAAAACTATATTTGAAAGGATTCGCAATTTTGAGTCTCCAAAGGAATACCCAAAGTTCTGTGGGGCATTTGCTATCTTGCACGTACGGGACATAACCACTGGATATGACAGCAGCCAGCCCAGTAAGAAATCAGTAAGTACCTTTGCTTTTTTTTAAAAACAATGAAGACAATTTAATGACTCAAATAACCAAAAAAATCTCAAGGTGGAACAAGTTTCTCCTAAGATTCAAGCCAGTGTGCCCATGTGTACTGGTTTGCAGTGGTCATAGTGTAGAAGCAGCCAGAAGAGACTCACAGTAAGGCTCTCCAGGTGGAGGCCTGGCAAGACCTCCTAAGGTCCTGTACCACCTGCCCAGCAGTCTTTGTGTTCAGCGGAAAGTTGAAGCTCCTGAAAAACCACGTCTTTTGAAAAGAAGACTTCTCTTAAACTGTTTGTCGTAATTCACGCTATAGTAAAAGAGTGGCCTCAAGTTTCATGAGAGTCAGACCTGTTGTTTGGTGCCAGGGTAGTTGGACGTGCACTGACTGGCGGTCTCTTTGACTCCGACATTCATGACTCCCAAACAATCGTCTGCACCACCCTGGTGCAAAGGGGAGTCGGCTTGAAGAAGAAAGACCAAGGAAGGGGAGACAGTGAGAGAGGGGATGTGTAGTGGTGATAAATGATGTGAAAAACGGAAGTCTAAAAGCTTCTGCTTCCAAAGCCCTACATCTTTCTAATTTTAACATGTTTCCATACTGACTCCCTATACCTTTAGACAAGTAGAGGAACTGATTTCTTAAACACAGACCTTTTCAAGCTTTCCCATGTTTTGGCTCAGGTTGTTTGCCTTAGTTTATCTTTTCTCCTCTCTGCTGTAGGCTCATCCTTCACCATTACTTAAGGCTTAAGGCAAGGGCTGGTGGTGATAGGTGCTTACTAGAATGCATGAGGCTTAAGACTGAAGGCAAATGCTCCGTCCTCCTTACGACTTCCAGGTCCCATAATCAGTTACCTCTCGTGGGTTATGTAATAGTGTCTTTATTGACATCTACTTGTGTTATCCTTGTGTGGCGGGTCCATCTGCTCTGTGCCTCTCAAAGCTCCTACCTGTGCGGTAGGTGCTCAGTAGATACTTATGTGTGATAAGTTCTTATCATAGTCATTTTATTGTTATAGTGATAACTGTTAGCTTAAGTTTCCATTTGTAATATTCAGATGTTGTTTCAATATTCTAATAATGTATTTAACACATATTTGTATCTTACCCAATTTTATAAGTTTATTCTATGAAAATTTCATACATGTGTTTAATGTATTTTGATCTTATATACCCTCATACCACCCTCCAACTCCCTCTGGGATCCACCAGCCTGTCTCCCTCAGGACTCCATGTCCTCTTTTTAAATCTTACCAGTTTTAGAACATACAAGTTGGTAATGTTAAATACGTTTATATTACTATACAACGGGTTTCTAGAACTTTTTAACTTTGATAAATTGAAATTCTGTACTCATTAAACAACTTTCCACCTCTCCCAACTCTCGGCAACCAGCAGTCTACTTTGTTTCTATGTATTAGGACTACCTTAGATGCTCCGTGTAAGTGCAGTGTAGTTTATAGTGTTTGAAAATAAAGATACAGGTGTAAACTGTTGCATTTTACATAGGCACTGCCTGTGAGTAAAAACAGCCAGATGATCACATTTACTTTTCAAAATGGCTGTGTTGCTACTCTTCGAACAAGTGGGACAGAACCAAAGATCAAGTACTACGCAGAGATGTGTGCATCACCTGGCCAGAGGTAAGAACTGATTCTTCTAGATAAATATGTAAAGACTTTATTGGGATGTAGCTTTATACCATAAAATTCACACATATCAATGTAAAATTGGGTAGTTTTTAATATATCCAGATATATCTGTGTAGCCATCACTACAGTCAACTTCAGAACATTTTTGTAACTCCAGAAAGAAGCCTCTGTACCCTTTAGAAGTCCTTCACAGCCCTAAGCAATCACCAACCTACTGTCCTTTTCTATAGATTTATGTACACGGGACATGGGTTACACTTTTTCTTGTTGTTCTCAACACTTGAAAAGGGGGAGGAAGGATTCCTTTGGGGCCATGCTTTTCGAGGTTTCAGTTCCGGGTTGCTGGATCCATGACTTTGGACCTAAGGCAAGGATGAGCATGATGGCATGTGGAGGAGGAGGGGATCAGGTAGAACCTTCTAAAGCACAGCCCCAACGGCCTCTTTCCTTCAGGTACATTCCACCCCAAATAGCACCAATGGCTGGAGACAAAGCATTTATAATACCTGCGTCTGTAAGGGACATTTTATAGAAATGAAATGCAGTATGTGGTCCTTCGTGTCTGAAATCATCCTTAGTCCCCAGATATTCCGTGGTATGGATGTATACCGTGATCTTAACTCCACTCACCCGTGCACGTTCACACTATCTACACTCTTTAAGTTATCAGGAATGGAGCAGTCACGAGCATTTGTGAATGTGTTTGTGCAGCGTGCACTTTCATTTTTCTTAGATATATATGTAGGAGTCGTATTGCTGGGCCCTAAGGTAACTATGTTTTACCTTTTGAGAAACTGCCAGACTCTTTTCCAAAGAAGCCCTGTCATTGGGAATTGAATTTCAGAATTGTGGTGAGTTTTTGTTCTTGGGAAGACGCTGAGATCTAGCATAAAGAAATGACCAGCATGCACTCTGTGCATCACCAAATACTTGTCTTCTCTGTCTGCCGTGGCTTTGCATAATCTGCCCAATTCGTTTCCTAAAAATATGAGTTGTTTGTCACAGATTGTTAGTCTTTTAAATAAACATGTCCTAAGTTACCTGAAAGTATTAGAAATATTTCTTTTAATCAAAAGACCATTGACCAGTGAATTTTGGGGAAGATTTTTTTTTAATTGTCTTCAGAACACAACTAGGGTGTATTATTTTGTTTTTCCCCATGCCCTAAAATTGCATTTCCACTGGAGAGGGAAGAGTCCTTTTTTATGTTCAGAGAAAAGTTTATAGTTACCAAATAAGGTGATTTTAGGTTAAAAATAAATTATTAAAGTCCTAAAAATGGATTTGTTACCTAGCTTGTACAATGACTGTGAACGCAGTTACTGGAAGCTTCTCTAGAAATGTTTTGAGCTACAGCAGTGCTTCCGTGACAGTTCAGAAGGAATTGCTTGTAAGTGTATAGTTATGTTTTGATAAACACTTCATTACTTTTTTCTACTTTTTTGAGACAGGCTCTCACTATATATCCCTGGCTGGCCTGGAACTGTTTATATAGACTAGGCTGGTCTCAGACTCACAGAGATCACCTGTCTTTGCCTCCCCAGTGAGTGCTGGGACTCCTTTCTGCTACCTAAAAGTTAGGTATTATTATTAATATTATTATTATTATTATTGTTTTTCTGTTTTTCGAGACAGGGTTTCTCTGTGTAGTTTTGGTACCTGTCCTGGAACTCACTCTATAGACCAGGCTGTCCTCGAACTCACAGAGATCCACCGGGCTCTTCCTCCCAAGTACTGGGATTAAAGGCGTGTGCCACCACTGCCCGACCAGGTAGTATTATTCTTTATCACCTGTATTGAATGTCCTTCAATACCTCAGGAAGCCATCTTATAATAATACTTGATATTGGCATTCTGAGCTATTCAATTACCTAGCCTAGGAGAATTAATTGGCCATAATTAACTCATACTTTCTTTTTTTTTCTGGAAGATAAGTTTGTAATTATATTTATTTACAGAAAACTTAGCAGTGTACACTTAACCCAATTTAGTGGCGAGTTCTTTGGCCTTTGCCTTTTCCAGCTTGGCAGTCCGAGCCACAGATTTAGGACCCAGGACATTGCCTCCCCAGTGGCAGCGGATCTCATCATATCTGCCGTTGTAATTGGTCCTAACAGCTTCCACCAGCTTAGCCAGAGCACCCTTGTCTTCTGAGTTAACCTGTGTGAAGACAACAGTGGTGCATGTCTTCCTGTGGACCAGCCGCCCCAGCCTGGCCTTTTCCTTGATGATGCAGTAAGGGACCCCCATCATTGACACAGGGCAGGCAGGAAGACCACCAGCTCAATGGGGTCTACATCGTGGGCAATCACCACCAGCTGAGCCTTCTTGTTCTCCACCAAGGTGGTGACTGTACTGACCCCTGCTCGGAGGACAGGTGGTCTCTTAGTCGGGACGTCCCCTTTGCCAGCAGCTTTCTTCTCAGCTCGGGCCAACAGCCTTTGCTTCTTCTCCTGCTTTGTCTCTGGCCTGTACTTGTGAGCAAGCTTAAGCAGCTGGGTAGCTGTTTGCCGGTCCAGGGCCTGTGTGAACTGGTTAATGGCAGGAGGTACCTTGAGCTGCTTATAGAGGATGGCTCTTTGCCGCTGCAGCCTAATGTAGCGGGGCCATTTGACGAAGCATGTGAGATCTCTTTTGGGCTGGATGTCCTGCCCAATGCCGAAGTTCTTAGGCCTTTTCTCAAACAAAGGATTCACCACCTTTTTGGCCTCCTTCTCTTCACAACGGCAGGGGCCAAGGCCACCTTCTTCCCCTTGGCCTTCAATCCCTTGGGCATCTTGCTCGGCTGGAGGAGAGAGCAACTCATACTTTCTCATGGGCCAGAAGATACCTAGTAATGCAATTCAATTTTGGTTTGCAGTTATTGTTTTGTGTATGAATTTTTTGAGAGTCTTGTTTTATTTTTACTGTTGAATTTTTTTTGCTTGTCAATTATTTAATTGTCTCATCAGATATATGCCTTCCTTAAAAGTGAAAATAATTTAAGTGTTAAGGCTGTGAAAAGAAGTTTAAAGCTCTTCGTCTTTTTCCCTCAGTGACACTGCCTTACTGGAGGAAGAATTAAAGAAGCTCATTGACGCTCTGATCGAGAATTTTCTTGAGCCCAGTAAGAATGGACTGATCTGGCGTTCTGTGTAGGGCACATCAGTACGTTACGACTTTGCACTGACGTGGAATGAAGAACTCTTCACAGTGAACCTCATGTTGGAATTCTCTCATCTGCCAAGTTACCTTTCCCCTTTCCCTTCCTTAGTTCAGCCGGCTAAATAGATTCTATACGTTTGAAATGAGAGTATTTGGAGGGCTATGAGTCTTAAGTGACAGTCAGTGCATTGACAGTGTTCAGTGGCACACCTTTCCTCCCATGTCACAAACAGTACAAAAGTGAGTTCTCTTATTAAACTGTGGCTAAGCCTAGTTACGTATTCTGTAATTGTGTATAGCATGGTTTAAAAGAAGCATACAACTATAGGGTTAGTTAAGGAAATTATTTCTTAAAGGTGTGTGTGTGTGTTGCTGGGAGTACTGTTCCTACCCATTGTAGAATAGTATCATGTCATGATGTAGGTATTGATTTTCAAGTTAGAAACCCAGCTTGGTGGCACATTCCTGTAATTACAGCCCTCAGGAGGCTGAGGCAGGAGGATCATTAGTTAGTTTATGGCTGCACAGTAAGATTGTCTTTAAAACAATGTTTATAGGTTGTTTAGGTTTCTGATTGAGGACAGATGTTAGGGTCTGGTTTGCACTTCTGTTCCAGGTGCCCCTGTTGCGGTGTGTATTTAAGAGTGCCGTTTACAAAACGCAAACAGTGGCAGCAGCACTCCTAGCGGCTGGTTTTTGTCACGTTTCTCAGCGCATTCTCAGGGTCTGCTGTGAACTACACAGTGTTCCTGCACTGGGTAGGATTTCATCGGTCCGTTTTCAGATGGTTAAGGGAAGTCTTCCAAACTGGATAGGTGCTTCCTCTGCAGAAAACAGGTTTTGTTGGCTCTAAAAATGGTTGTAGGAAAAGATCTTAATCAAATCTGGCTTGATGTAACTGTAGTGGAGTCTTTGTGCTAGGAATCAGTTATCATAGCCTATAAGTGGAAAAAAAAAATCTGTACTGTGGAATGAGTGGCATTTATTTGACAGTCTCTTTGAATTACATTTTTATAAGTAAATTTATTTATTCTTTTATCTAATAAAGTAATGCTAATTTTACTAAGAAATGAAACATCAAGATTTAAGTATTTTCTACCACCTTGATTCAGTACCCAGTCTCATCTGATCTCAGAAGCTAAACAAGGTTAAGCATGGTTGATGCTTGAGTGGGAAATTGTAGGTATTATGAAACACTGAAAGTGATGTTTAAGAAGGTCAGTTTATTTCAGTGTGTTGCTGGCTTTGGAATTTCTGATAATATAAGTAATATAAATACTCTTCATCTTTTTCAGTATGAAAACAGTTTTCAGAAAAGGCATTTGTGGTTAATTCTCTAGCCTTCTGAAAAGCCCTAATAGAGAAATATTATCTAAGCTTTTCAAATTGTTTGTCTCCCTATATAGTTTACAGAATACGTGCTGTAGTTAGGATAACAGTAATAAGGCCTTAGGGTGTAATCATTGAAACAAAGTTGCCTCTAGGAGACAGCACTGATACTAATTTACTTCCCAAAAATAATTCTATGAAGCCTAAACTGATTAGAATGTTAATGAAATCGAGGTTTGGCTTGTTGCAGCTTTGAGTTAATTCTGGTTGAGCTTGTATAATTCAAACAGTTTTCACATTATGTTGCCACTATTGTTGGTTTGTTCCTGCCATGCTCTCTTAGAGCTGGGTCCTGTATGACTGTAGATAATAGCTAGTTAGTGTACAGTGCCAGTTTTCTGTATGGGTTTATTTTAAAGGCTTTGCATTAGAGAAGAAGTATATAGAATGTTTTGTTTTATTCTTGAAATGTATAAAACGTTTTTGTTTTATCGGCTTTTAGGAGTATCAACTGTAATTAAGAAATGGCATGTATTCTACAAAGTGGTATAATCAAAGCTATATATATATGGAAAAACATACATATTCAGTTTTAGTGTCTGTGTTCCAGTGACCCAAGAACAAAGTGAAACTAAAGTGATGTGATAGCCTATTCATAATCACAAAAGCCATGTCATGATTGTCATCTGCTTATGAAGAGAACATTTTTGTTTGAATGCTTTAACATAGACAAGATAGAAGTCATCTTAAAGTGAAGTTACTGACATTTGAGCTCTTACCTTGAAAAGCTAAATTCCAGTTATGTATAAAGATTCCCAAAGTGTATATAGGTTGAGGAAACTGTGATTTTGTCTAAATTCTTGAATCCGTCTGAGCGTGTTTAACATGAACATGGGTGCATAGGTCCCTAACAGAAGAGGGTGTCAGCCAGTGGGCCTCAGCTTCGGCAGGCACCACATTGTTCGTCTCTTTTCTATTTTCAGCAATAGTGTGGGAATGAATGTATTTTCTCTGAGCAAATAAATCAAAATAGGTATGTTCTGGAGCATGGAGGAAAGATGTAGGCTGAGCCAGAGCCAAGTGGTAATGCACTTATCTAGCAGGAAGATAATGCAAAGATGGTTGCCAGGCCTGCAGTTGATATCTGGAATACAAGGGAGGCAGTGGGAAGAAGTTTCTCACTGATGGAGAAAAGTCAAAAACTACAGTGGAAATAACAGTAGAAACTGACCAACAATATGTGAAGCCAGTAATGGCAGCCTGAAATGCTTCTTGTGAAGCGCAAACCAAGCGCTGTTAGCGGGGGTAAACTGTATGAGAGGCTGTTCACTTGTGTGTGTTAGGGTGAGCAGATGGCAAGCCCACCATTTTCCTTCAGTAGTGATCGCTGAAAAGAAGCCCAGTTCTAGGAGGTGAGGAAAGAACATTATTATGGAGTCCATTCCTACTGAGATGTTCTTTCAGAATCACATGAGAACCAGAGAAGAACAAAATTAAAAGAAATAAAACTAAGGGTTGTAAAGTATAACCTCTAAGAAAAAGCTCAAGGAATTTAGATTGTTGAAATCTGAAACTGAAAGCTGTTGAGCTCTCTTAACCAAATCGTAAGTTATTCATTGGGGTTTTACTGAGGGTATCAAAGTCAGAAACGCTAATGGCATTATGATGATCTGTAATGAAGACACCACAGGGAACAAGGACGTACAACGAAGAGACAAGACCTGTTCTAAAAACAAGAAAAGAAGACATGGTGGATAGAAGGGGACTAGTTGAAAAGAAGGGAGTCAGCAGGAGTAGGAGAGGGTTAAGAGAAGGGTCATGGGGTGGCTATAACCATAATACATTTTATCATGTATGTAACTGTCGGAAATGAATAGACAACATGAAATGTTTAAGAGGTAAGACTTTCTTGAGGAGAATGATCATAAAACCTATTTGAGCCGGGCGATGGTGGCGCACGCCTTTAATCCCAGCACTCGGGAGGCAGAGCCAGGCGGATCGCTGAGAGTTCGAGGCCAGCCTGGGCTACCAAGTGAGCTCCAGGAAAGGCGCAAAGCTACACAGAGAAACCCTGTCTTGAAAAAACCAAAAAAAAAAAAAACCTATTTGAAACCTTATTTAAAGATTCTTTCATACACACTTTTAAGAATCAGGTTGGAACAAGACTTATGAATAGAGCACTGATGGTGACATTTGTGTTTCACTCCATATCTAGAATTTGGCTCACAAATAGCTTGTGTATATTTTGAATAGTAGGTGCAGTAGTACAGGGATGGGTGTTCTTTTTAATTTGCAAAGTGTATGAGAATTGAACACACTCGTGTTCATCTGGAGAACGCACAGCTTTATAAGATATTGAGATCTATTGCAAATACAAAGTATCAACATTTGAATGTAGTAACTTAAGACAGATTCCAAGAGATTGGATATTTTGTGATGTCTGCATATAGCAATTAGCCCCCCCCCATTTCTTTATCAAGATGCTTCTGGAATTGCTGCAACAGAAACATTAAGTGGGAGTCTCCTAGAGAAGTCAGCAAATGCTGCTACTATGCTGTTTATCCAGATTTTTCCACTGATACTTCCAAGGCGTGAAAAATACAAATTCCACTTGGATACCTTTAATTTCACACCTTTCATGCTCTACCTCCCTATTCCCTAGGCATCCTTCTACCTTCTGTTACTGTGAAATACTACTACCCTGTTACCTCACTGATAAGAATCTTAACTGTGTTCATTCAGATGGCTTTAAACTTGCCCGTGAATTGTTTGTTTATAGACTTGTTTTATTGTTGTCAGAATATTTGAGACATACTGTATGAAGTAACTTGAATGTCTTTCAGTGCTTGTTGGTTGCCTGTAGATGGTATGGCTGTGGCCTTTTACAATGCATTTGTTTTCTGAATTTGTTCTAGAAACTGATGAGGAAACAGTTATACCATCCAAAGTGGTCAATTGGTCTAGCATTTTATTGGGGGCGGGGGAGTTCCCTGGCTTTGGGCAGTCAGAGCACAAAAATTCAAGGAAATATTTTTTCACATTTGTCCAAAGCATTTTATCATAAGCTGAAAGAAGTCTGAAGAGAAAGCTGCGTGTGTAATCCCAGCCCTGGAGAGACTAAGGCAGGAGAATTGCTGTGAGTTCAAAGTTAGTTTAGGCTGCATGGAGAGCTCCAGCCCTGCCCCCCCCCCCAAAAAAAAAACCCAGAGAGAATGGCACATTGTCTGACTGTTCACGAAACATTGGTTTAGTACCAGTCAGAAACAGCTAAATCAATGTTGATTATTATTTCTCACTATTCATTGGATTAGTACACCTAATAAGCCTAGAACCCTAAATCAGAGGAGCGTGAAAAGGATGGTTAATGGGACCTCGAGAGCAAAACCCAGAGAAGCCTACCTCTGACGATGTGAGAGTCCATGTTCTGGTTCTGAGTCACAAGGGAATTCTGAGTTCTCTACAGTATAAGGATGAACTTCACACAGGGGGCTGGGGACGTAGCTCAGTGTGGAGTGTTTACCTGACATGCCAGAGGTCCTAGATACAATATCTCCAGCACCATAAAAAAAAAAAAGGAAAATGTCAGGAAGGAACACAAATTTATCATGTGCTCCTCAGTTCCCAGCTCCAGCCCCCCACCTGCAATTGCTGCTTTTCCTGGAAAGACACACAATGACCTTTTATAGTAAATATACATTCTAGGATATTCTCTGCCTTTCCAACCTATACTTCCAAAGTATTAATGCCAGGTTAATTGACCTGCAATGGCTATGTTACCCTTGAACCTTATAATATTGTCTGATGTATTAGCCAGTTTATTCTGTTCAACTTACTGGCACTCCTAACACACCTGTAAGCTGCCTGAGAGCAAAGATCGTGGTTTATTGTTTTTATTATCTACTCTGCTTAATTCAGCGTCTCCTGTTAATGCAGTATTTAACTGGTGGTAATATTAAGAGGTTTTATTTTAAAGTAATAACAATTTAAAAGATAATAAAACAACATTTTCCAAGTCAGTTTTAAAGATGCACATTATTACTGAAATATGCAGTAAGCAATGTTTACCAAGCCTGCACACCTTTAAATACTTAGTGTCTTAGATAGGGTTTCAGTTCTTGTGATAAACACCGTGAGCAGAAGCAGCTGGGAAGAAAATGGTTTATTTCATCTCAGAGCTTAGATGGCCATCAGTGAGGGAAGTCAGGGCAGGTGCTTGGCTGGAACTGAAGGAGAGGCCATGGAAGGGTGCTGCTTACTGGCTTGCTCTCAGGGCTTGCCTGCCTTGTGATAACATCCAGGACACCAGCCCAGGGGGTCCCACATCAGTCATCGAGAAAATGCCTTGCAGGCCAATCTGTGAGGGCATTTTCTCAATTGAGGTTCCCTCTTCTAAAAGGACTAGCTTGTGTCAAGTTGACATAAACCTATGCAGAGTACTCAGTTTCTTTGGGGATTGCAAAGCATCTTTCCACATGAAAACTATATATAATATATAGTATTTGCTCACAAAACAAGGTTTTGGCCAAGAAGGCTAAGAATGTATCTTACATGGGTTGAATGCTACTGATCTGGATGCCATTTTTTGAACCCATAACCCCACCTTTCAAGTGAGTGACATCTGCTTTGATACTACTTGATGCATTTTGTCCAATATTAGAACTTATAATGTTGTGTTATCAGAGTCACTCAGGCAAAAAAAAAAAAAGGGAAGAGGATATGCATCTATATATGATGAGACCTTGTTATAGGCTACAGTAAGCTCTTGGTGTTGAATATGACAGATAAAACAGAATTAAGAATGGATTAATTTTCTAATAGTAGCTCAGAATCATGCCCTTGTTTTAACAGTTTCTGTCAATAACCCATCTTCCCCTGTAAAACTAACAGGGTATATTGTTAGCCTGTGAGAATTTGCACTTTATGTATTTGTGTGTGGATTTCTGTGGTTTTAACCAAATGAGATATCCTCAGTAATAAACAGGTCTCTTCATAGGCATGAGTGTCTATGTAATTTTTATTGTCTCAGATACTGTATAGTTCATAGTTTGCTGTCCAAACTGATGTTCTTAAAATGTGGGCATAGCTTACCCTAGAGTCTGCTTGCAGTCTAAATTCATGTTTTGACTCAGCACTCTGTGGATTATTTCTTGGTTGGCTCATCTGGAAGTTATAGGGGTTGAGAACTCGTATAAAAATAATAGCCGGAGGCTACGAGGGACCCTGGGGAGGAGATGAGGTTCAACTGAGTGGGGATTTTCCAGTTGCCCTCTCTTCCCATATGTGAATGCTGCTCATTGGTGGACAAAACCTTAGAACCTGGGGATAGGAGCCGAAATTTAGTTCTAACATTTCTCTATAAAATTAGGGAAGCCTTTGGACAACTCAGGGACCCTTGAGTACACAATCATGGGACCAAGGCATCTTCTCTGCTGTTTCCTCCCTGTTGTGGTTTGAATGTGAAATGCCACCCATGGACTTGCATTTAAACACTTGGTCCTCATCTGATGGCTCTGTGTGAGGAGGCTGTGGAACCCTTATGAGGTAGATAGAGCCCTCACTGAAGGAGAGGCTCCTGAGGGCAGGCCCCTTCAGTTCCCTCTCCATCCTGACTGCCAGCGAGCATCCTGCCCCATGTCTTCCCCACTATGATGGAATATAGTCCCTGGAACTGGAAACCAGTATAGACCCTTCCTTCTGTGAATCGCTTTTGTCAGGGCACTGTATTACAACAGGAAAAGTAATACAGTGTTTACTCAATGAATCTTAGACCTTCTGCCAGTGGGGCACCCTCCCTGCTTGTATATAGGAGAACACGGAGGCAAGTGAGCACTCCAGAGGCAACTGGGACTGATGTCCAGATCCCTTTAAACTTCGTGTGTGTGTGTGTGTGTGTGTGTGTGTGTGTGTGTGTGTGTGTGTCCGTCCGTCCGTCCGTCCATGAACGTTTATAGGAAGGTCAAAGGAAGTCATTGGATATTCACTATTACTCTTTACCTTGATCTCTAGAGATGGAGTCTCAGTGAACCTAGAACTTATGGTTTGCAACACCCTCCTCTCCCCCATTACACTAGATCCACACTACACTACACTAAACATACCCAGTGATCCTCCTGTTTCTGCACCTCAGTGCTGCAGTTACAAGCACTATGGCAGCTTTTTTTTTTTTTTTTTTTTTTTGGTTTTCGAGACAGGGTTTCTCTGTAGCTTTGGATCCTGTCCTGGACTAGCTCTGTAGACCAGGCTGGCCTCGAACTCACAGAGATCCACCTGCCTCTGCCTCCTGAGTGTTGGGATTATAGGCGTGTGCCACCACCGCCTGGCACAATGGCAGCTTTGTAGATGTAACCAACTATCTTATTAAATAAGAAACACAGAACCAATGCAAAGAAGAAAGCCAAGAGGTCAGATCTCAGAGCCTTACCCACCTGCTGCAGCTAGCCTCTTCAGCCAAGAGACCTCTCTGAAAGAGAGCTACTTCCTGTCTGTTTGTCTTTATATAGACTTTCTGTTCTGCCTTCTCATTGGTTGTAAACCCAACCACATGACTGCCTCGTCACTGCCTGTCTGTACAGACCTCCAGGTCTATGGTTGGTATTGAGATTAAAGGCATGTGTCTCCAATGCTGGCTGTATCCTTGAACACACAGAGATCTACCTAGCTCTGCCTACCAAGTGCTGGGATTAAAGGCGTGCACCACCACCACCCAGCTTTTGCTATGGCTCTAATAGCTCTGACCCCCGGACAACTTTATTTATTAACATACAATTAAAATCACATTTCAGTACAAATAAAATATCACCATACAGCTTCTTACATGTGTGCTGTGGATTCAAATTCAGGACCTTATACTAGTACAACAAGCACTAACCTCAGCCATCTGTCCAGCCCAACTTTTATTTTTTAACCTAGTAAATCCTGTCTGTCCCCTGTAACCCCCCACACACACCCCGCTACTCTTCTGAATTCTTTTTGCAAACAATCTTTCTTCAGTCTAGTGTTTGCCGACTCCTCTTATGAAGTTGTTATGTACAACCAGGAGTATCCATTGACACTTGACATTCTATCTAGAGATCTTAGTCAGACTGAGTCTTGAAAATGCCTTTCTCCCAACTTCCAAGTCACTACAGGCAACAGGTTTACCTATTGTATCAACAGTTTCCCATCTCTCTGGCCTCTTGAAATTTCCTCATGGTTCCAAACTTCACTGCTTGCCATTTCTCCAATGTTCCTGTTCACAATGCCTTGAATTTTAGGATTTTGTTAAATGCAGCATTTTGCTTTCAGGCACCAATTTCTGATTCAGTCAACTTTAGTTTTTTGAGACAGGAGTTCACTCTGTAGCCTTGGCTGTCCTGGAACTCGCTCTGTAGACCAGGCTGGCCTCAGACTCAGATCTCCCTGCCTCTGTGTCCCCAGTGCTGGGATCAAAGGCATGAGCCACCACCGCCTGGCTGATTGAGTCCACTCTTAAACACCTGAAAACTTTGGTGGCTTAAAATAGCTATTTCTTGCCGGGCGTTGGTGGCGCACGCCTTTAATCCCAGCACTCGGGAGGCGGAGGCAGGCGGATCTCTGTGAGTTCGAGGCCAG